GGGCAGAGATGTTGAGGGGGGTCCCTGCCTGCTCAGGGGTGCTGAGTCTGTGCCAGGACCCCAGGAGGGAGCAGGTGGCCCAGTCCCTAGCCTGGTGTGTCCCCCAGCAGGGTGGATGCTGACAGCCCTGGGGACTGCCTGCGGGAGGTGAGCCTGGTGTCAGCCCTGACTCGTGGGGCCAAGGTCTTCCTCACCAGGGAGGAAGCTCAGCACTTCCTCAAGGAGTAAGTGTGGGAGAGGGACACTCCCTGGGGGCTGTCTGAGCCCTTTCCACCCCCATGGTTGCCTGGGCCTGACCCCCAGCCCTGCCCAGGTGTGGCCTCCTGAACTGTGAGGTGGTGCTGGAGCTGCTGGGCCGAGCACTGGAGGAGCCTAGTGACGGTGTCCGAATGGTGAGCAGGGGTGTGCCCACCCCGGAGGGCTGGGGGGAGCTGGGGTGTGTGGGGGTCTGCCTGGCTCAGCCCTGCTCTGCTTTCCTGCAGAGATCCTTGTCTGCCATCTCTGCCCTGGGCTGCTCTGACCTGCTCTCTCCAGACCAGATCCTTGCTGTGACCAGGCAGCGCCTGCAGCAGCTCAGCCAAGGCAGCCCTGGGCCTGTGGCCAACCGAGCAACCAAGGTGACTCTAGGGACATCCTCATCTTCAATCCCCAGGGAAGGAGGCTCCTAGGAGTGACTTCCCAGCCTTTGGGGACACCTGGATTTTGGGAATGGCTCTGTGCACCTCCCAGTTCCCCTCTCCCTGCAGCGGGTGATGCTCCCTCAGAGCCCTGGGAGGGGACTCTGGGGACAGCTCCTCCACCCGGGCAGACGGACCAGGGCAATGCCCCTTTCCCAACACTCACTCTGCCCATCCCACTCTGTCCAGATGCTGCGACAGTTCGAGGCTCTGTGCCATGCCCAGCCCACGCCGAAAGCTCCTCGCCCACCCTCGACTCCCTCGGTGGGTTCAGCCCCGTGCACCAAGGACCTGCTGACAGACCTCCCTGCCCTGGTCGGCGACAGCATCCTCGCCCCGCTGAGCCCT